AATCTATCATATCAAAATATCAAATTTATCATTATGATACACGTAATTTCGCAATAGTTGGAACACAAGTAATAAATTATATATTTTGCATGTAATATATGGAATTTCATGTATCAAATTATCGTTTTCAAGTGATTAAGATAGGTATGTCTCCGCATTTTGCATCCTTAATTAGCAAATTTAATTAAACAAGGTGACGTCCACAAGAATGCATTTTACGTTTACAACCCACTTCATTAAATATCACTTAAACGGTATTGAAGAGAATTTATTGCAATTTAAGACGCCTTAAAGAATGATTTAATTCTCATGGAATTTTCAAAGTCATAAAATAAGTGCTTTATATTTATTAAACGTAAAATAATAAATTTAATCATATATTAAAAAAAACGCAGAGCTTTTTAGCTTTGTCATTAACAAATTATGCGTAATATATGTTTTATCTTTCAAGTGTTGACGTTTATCTAATGTATTACACATTAAACACCGTTGATTATTTGAAAAATACATATTATGTAAATCAGTTAGTATATTCATAATTCATAACTTCGTAAGTATGATTTAATACCGATTTAAAATTCAAAACGGCCAAATCTAAATCGCATTTAGATCTAAGAGATTTAAAGTTTATCTATACTTAATAATTCTATTCCTTAGTTTTGACCTTGCATTGATCAATCATGCGCCATCAAGTCATTACAATTTGATATACATTTATTGGTTTCATCAATTTGTCACCGAATAAACCACATTCAAGCGGATCTGGTTGATTTATATGATTTAAAATATTGTGAGCCAGTGATTAGTAATTTTATAGGTTTATTTGAATGCGGATGAAGACAATTAATTCGTGTTGATTCACGAATTTAAATCAACCGGTAATTGTTTTCGTTCAGCAATTGCTACATATTTACAATCGCTCATTATTTAAATGACTTGATTCACACCTTGACGAATTACTGACATCCGTGACAAAAACAACTACCTACTGAATATTTTAAATAAATTATATATAAAAAAACTAAATTTAAACAATGAAATATTTTGGAGAGTTAATAATGCTCGTAGGGAATCAGAAGAAGATATGTTTTTAACTAATGTTGATGTGGTAAACTTTTCTTAGTAAAAAACAATTCCTACATGTTATGTTTTGTTTATTTTTGATTTGCTTTGCTTCACCTATTCTCCCGTCACGCAAATTACGATAAAAGAATCATTCTGACAACTGATTGAAGTATCTCTGGATTGAGTAATTCACTGCGAAGCGTATTTGTTTTATGGCCGATTAAATTTTTATTGTAGACAGCAAGCTGCTCAATGTTAATAACTCACTTACCGAATCACCTTCTGAATAAGTCAATAAAAACTGATGAAACTGACTGAAAACGTACTCTAACAGAATATTCTTGTTCAATTTATATGTAGTTTCAATATTGCAATAATTTTCCTGTTGCATAAAAAGATAATTCATCAGATTAATGGGTTTATATCGATAGATATTGAATATATATAAGTGAACAACATTTCTGCATTAATTTATGCTTTGTCGGTCTGTGAGCCATTAAGAAATTACGCGTTTCTCAATGTCGGCACTGCTTTTGTCTCTCGTCGCTTTTTCCGCGCCTCGCGAGCAAAAACGAAACTTGTCAAGAAGCAGCAAGTCTACAACGTCATCGCCGACGAAGGAAAGTCGCAATCGTTGATGTACTTGAACCGCAAGGACAAATCATTGCCATTTCTTGACATTCGATAATCAGCTATATTCTCGCAAAAAGGTAAATAAGTATAACAGTAAGCTACCCAAGTGTAGATCATAATTTCAAGAAGTAATTTGCACTAAATGAACAGGACTTTTGATGTGAAGTGAGTAAAATAAAACAGTGTGAAAATGGGTGAAACAAGGTCATTTTATTTTGCTCCATGTAAATGTTCATCTTTAATGTTTCCAGATATGTCACAAAAGACGTAATAAAATCGAATGGCGTAAATAATAGATCAAGTATAAAGGTGGAGTCTATGTTCTCATATAGCTAAAAATTGTTTTTTTCAATGGAAATTTATACGTGAATGAATAGATAAGAATCGGAATCAATTCAAAGTTTAAAAAGTCGTTGAATTGAGTAGGAAGCTAAATTTGGTATTTGACATGATAGAATATTTTCTCATCATATCAACATAGTGTCAAATCAGATCCGTGTGAACAAAATAATGGTGATAATATAAACATTTTCAATTTCTTCATTTCTTGAAACGTATTTTTTGTACATTCCTAGATATGCATATACATAATGTATAACATAAATTTCACACGGTTTATAAAATATTAGAAAAATCAAAATAATGTAGGTATCTACTCGTAAAATATCGAAAATATTTGCAATATTGCAATAAAATATTTAATTGAATAAATAAAAATGTAATATTTTAAAATATTTGCAGTCAATGACCGACTAGAATTGACATCAGACTAAAACTAAGAGTGTTTATGATTCTATAAATCTCTTTAGAGGATTTTGGTGTAGTAAATTCAAAAGTGTGAGTAATTTCTTAGATTTAAAATGGCACCGCCAACTTAGTCGCGTTTTTTGGGCTCATTAGCATTGGCTTATGTCAAGTTTAGCTTATAATTCGAATTTAATGGTTCAATACGGTTTTAGATTACATCTAAATTGGATTCTTGTTAATAATCACATCTTAAAGCACACAAATCGTATAGTTCTCTTGTCCTAAATCAATGACGTATTTTGTTATTATAAATCAGTAACACTTACTTTAATTAATTTGGATAGTTAAAGCAAATCGAATGAAGTTCCTTATTGAGACATCGTATGGCAATAGTTTCAGGCAATAATTTCTGGATATTCTAAGAAGACTAAGTAGAAATTCAGTAAAGTACTGTTTTGTTATGTCATGCGTAAGTATTTATAAGCAACAAATTTTCCAACATGAAAGTGCAAATAACTTACTCCTTTAGACCCATGCAAATACTCTGCAACTATTGATATTCAAACCTATTTCGAGATTGTGATTCTACTTAAAAGTGATTTAAGTAGCAGATTTAAACTAAACTGTGTAGAAGATCGTAGCTAAAGAAGACAAGAATTGCAAATGTGCGTACCGATAGCTATCAGCAATAACAATAATTTATGAAAAGCACCCGCATTGCCAGGCGAGATAAATCAGTTAATTTACAACGGACAACTTTCACGTTAAACCTAAATTATTAGTAAACTTTACATAATTATCGTAATTTAATTATTAAACTAAATTAAGAAGTTCTCATCGTTTCTAAATAATAATTGAATCAAATTCTTTTATCAATTGTTGTTGGTTTAAGATCGTAGGCAAATGAAAGTGAGAAAAGTTCGACTTTGACTTTGCTAACGAGCTAATTAGTCACGTCACTAGACAATTCATGCGAGTGTTATTTCCGCAAGGTGTTTCCCTGCTTATTAATGTAACCTATTCACAATTCAGATTCCATGATCAATACAAAGCTTTTTTATGAAATAAATACTGAATACAAATGTTTACCTCACCTTATTAAAACATTTATACTTTTATTACTTGATTAATTTATGGGATTTACGACATTTGCTTTCTAAGCTACCAACAATGTAATATTACAACATCTAAATTAATAATAAATTAATTTTTTATTTGCAATTCAATCGTATTTTAGTGACAATTTTGTTTTTTTGTCAAAAAGACACATATTGAGTGTAATTAAAATAAATTTACAGGTAAAACCTTTACAATTTCTTAAAACCTACTCATTTTCTACAAGATTATTCTCCACTTGATCAGAAATTAGTCACTTACTTCATTTGTTCTTTGTGACATTTTCTCTCAATTACAAGTACAAGCTAGCAATTTGCGCATATTCCAAGTATGACTAAAGTGCAACTAATAAGTCAATAACGTAATAAACTAATCAAGTCAATAGATACTTCGCTCACACACCAGTATATTTGCATTCAATCTCTTATATCTTAATACAAATTGATAATATGTATTCTATTCATATGCGTATTGATAATCCGTTAATTTAACACTTAATTCACATTCATACGCCGATTAAATTCTTTCCATTGTTGTTTCAGTGTCGCACTTTTGCACAATCACATTTTTTGTCGTTGTTTTAAAGTTCAGCTACAAACACGTGACTTTAAGCAGCAATACAACTTTTCATTTTATTGGTGAAAACGTGTGTTATTGAATAGCGCTATTCTGATTATAATTATATAATCGATCGATAAATTTGCAACTAATTAGCATTTTGTAATTCAAATTCAATTGTAACGTAATTAAAAAATTCTTTTATGCACTTACAAGCTTTTTGCGTTCTAACATTAAATAAATTTTGATTTAGATTTAAAAACATGTTGCATGATGTAAATCTAATAGATCTTTGTTGTTAGTTGTCACCGCAGTCGACAATAGCAACCAGAAAATGTCAAGTTCAGAGCATAAAACTTGATCAACTTGCCGCAACTTTGCGCGAGTTGGCGCGACTTTGAGTGACTTTGTGCGTCGCACGAATAAATTTCAGATCGGACGGATCGATAGGTGTGGTTAACAAATCGAATTAAGCCGGCTAAACTACCGCATTAAGTGATATCTTGCATTAACACGCTCTTTTGTTCCGTCAGCAACGAAACAAAGCAGGCAACTAAAAATATAGCAGATGTAAACTTGTTTCAAACATTTTAAAGGATAATTTTCGTTTCGTATAATTTTTTTAATACATTCATCTTTGATTCAAGAAAATATTTAACAACAAAGTATATTTTTAACTTTGAAATAGTGTTATATATTGTCAAAATAATCAATTTTAATGTGAAATGAATTATGACAATCATTTCAAGGATAATAAAGTAATAAATCAAAAAATTGATACATGTACTAATAGAGAGTGATAGACCAAAAATATTTGATTGATATTTTCATAGAAAAAATAGCAATATTTTTTTTAATGTTATGTTATTAATAAAACTTACAGTGAATATAATCAATAAGGGATGTGCGAATCGCCTGACGTTGTTGGTGGCAAACATTGCTCTCCCTCTTTGCCGTCGTCATGCATGCACGCGCTGTGTTGAAAGTGCACCGGCGCGCATCGGAGGCGGCGCGGCTGTCATTCACGTGCGGGGGCGGTGGTGTTTCGGGTGCTGCGTGGGCGTGTAGTGCTGTGGGGTGCACGGGGCCAGTTAATACATGCCGCCGCCGCCGTCACTCTGGTCACTACTCTCCCTCACTCGCGCCCGTCTCCTTCGTCTTCGCGCGTACACCGGTACACACACACGTCCGCTTCGTGCTGCACTCCGCGAGTCACTGACGTCTTGGTCGCGGTCTTGGAAGGTAACACCGCAGGTTTGCAGGCAACACTAGTGCTACTAGACCTGCAAATGCTACCAATGTTTCCAATGTCGGCGATTGAACACGAGCACGATGCGTGAAGAAGCAAACAATCGACAAGACTCAAAAGAACTTCCTCTGGCGACAAAGACGTCCTTTCTTCTGAAGTGTCTTAAAGATATTGTAATACAAACAAGTTAGATTAACTATAGTTGCGTGTATATTGAAGACTGAATTGAGGCAAGTGAAGAAGTAACTTAAGTAGGTATTGGCTTTGACTTTGACTTTGGTTTGACAACCGCAGGATGTAGTTTCCTAATTACAAACTGACTATGTTCAATGGTTACCAAGGTATAGAATGAAATCATCCGTATATTGATTATAGTTTGTTCTAAGAATTTACACATTCATTAACATTTTTGGGTATTTATGCTAGTATTACAAATATTTTTTCTAAAATTAAATAATATTAGTCATTTTTTGGACGTCCGGTTATTAGAACCTTGGGGACATATTTAAAAAAAAGTGCAACAATAGAACAAAAAATTAACTTTGGAGGAGCTGGGATTTGAACCCAGGACTTTCAGCATGCGAAGCAGACACTCTACCACTGAGTTACACCCCCGAATAGTTACATGGAAGATTTAAACAAATATGAAGAACAAATATTCTCAAAGATATATTTCTAAGTTATAGTTATTCTATTTTTCTAGAAATTGACACATTCATTAACATTTTTGGGTATTTATGGTAGTATTACAAACTTTTTTTTTCTAAAATTAACTAATATTAGTCATTTTTTGGACGTCCGATTATTGAACCTTGGGGACATATTTCCAAAAAAAAAATTGCAACAACAGAACAAAAAGTTACTTTTGGAGGAGCTGGGATTTGAACCCAGGACTTTCAGCATGCGAAGCAGACACTCTACCACTGAGTTACACCCCCGAATGGTTACAAGGAAGATTTAAAGAATTGTTAATAACAAATATTCTCAAAGTTATATTTCTAAGTCATATTAGGCAATTTGTAATATTATTTGTTTTTAACATACCTTTACTGTCTTAGACAATCTAAAAATATTCTAAAATAAATTACATACACAGGAATTTAAACGTTCGGTAATTATTGCTTGCTTTAAAATTTATAAATAATTGTTGTAAATCGTAAATCGCATCGACACGCACTTGTACATTAAATTAAAGTAAGGCTCACAACGTTAAAGCGTAAAAAGCGAAATTAATCTAAGTTTAACGTAGTTGAGTCCAGTTTGCGTAGTAAAATGTCTAATGAGAGTCTAATAACGCAAGTAAGTAATTGTAAGTAATTACCGCATACGAAATAAATATTGTGTATTGCATAGTAATTATATTTGTAAATGTGTATTAAAAAAACACACCAGACGTTTACAACTTGTCCGAAAACATCAACAAAACTAGTTTTAGATTTGAAACAATGATTGTCTGCGTATTTTATGTTGCGCTAGGACTTTTGAACTTCAAATATAAAGCAACATTTATTATGATTAAAATGTCAAGTAGTTATTTTTCAATTATAAAATAGTAATGTTTTTAATAATTTGCTCGTATTTTAGGAGCAGAGTCTGATTGGATAATATTCACCTAGAATGTGTAAAAGTAAAAGAACCTTGCACAACTTTTTTGATCTTGTGGGTGTGCAACAACTGATCCATATGCAAACGTCATATTATAATGTTTACTGACATTGTAAAGCTTTTTATCAGCATGTATCAACAAGAAAGCATAGTGTTGAGTATTTTAGTTTAAGCAAAATTAACATTTTTGTAAAATATTGTACCTATATATTACATTTAGATGTCCTTAGTTTTAATCATGCCTATTATTAAACTATCTAAATATTGTCTTAGAAGAGATAGCATACTCACATCGGTGCATTTTATAAATAAATCTTAAAATGCTACTGTTACCTAGTGGTTTGGATTCGTGCAAATTCTTATCAAACTATAAACAAACTAAAGTTGTTGCTACACTAACAGATGATGTTCATTATTGTTTAAACTTACCTCAGAACAGGCAGTAATTTTACTCACTGCAACTTAATACTCTTATAGTTATTAATCAATTTAAAACTAGCTAAAATGATTTTGATATTTTTAGTTTTTACTTCTTGTTTTCTTGCATATTGGCACTATGCAAGAACTTACAGCTTTTGGGATAAAAAGGGTGTGGATAATATTAAACCCTACACATTTGCCGGGTCATTTAGTTCCAATGTTGTATTACAAAAATCTGTCCCAGAGATTGTCCAAGAACATTATAATAAATATAAAAATAACAGGTTTGTAAATGTTTGCCAAATTATTTTAAATCATCTTTGGAATAAATTAATGTGTTGTAGATATTTTGGGATGTATCAATTTACACTACCTACATTTGTTGTAAAAGATATGGAACTGTTAAAATTAATTTCCGTGAAAGATTTTGATACGTTTATTGATCATGCAAATTCGGCAAATGAAGAACTTGATCCGCTATGGAGTAAAAATATTCTTGCATTAGTAGGTGAGTATAATTTATTGATATATTTATAAAATACAATTATATTACATGTTTTGATTTTAGGTGATAAATGGCGTAATATGAGAGCAACTTTAAGCCCAGCCTTTACAGGGAGCAAGATGCGTTTGATGTTCAATTTGATCAACGACGAATCTCTACAATTTGTCAATTACTTTCGCGAACAAAATAAACCCATTGTCGAACGCGACATGAAAGATATATTTTCCCGTGTCACCAATGATGTCCTCGCAAGTTGTGCTTTTGGCGTTAAAGTAGATTCGATGAAAGATCCCGAAAATGACTTCTTTATCAATGGCCGCAAAGCGTTCGACTTCAGCGGTTTTCAACAATTGATCTTTTTCATGTATTCTGCAACTCCTCGTCTAATGAAATTCTTTGGAATACGTCTCTTTGCCGAGAGAACCTCCGCTTTTCTCCGAAACCTCATTATTGAAGCAATTAAATTTCGCGAAAAAGAAAATTATGTGAGACCCGATATGATCCATCTCATGTTAGAAGCTAGAAAAGGAACACTCAGTCAAGATGACACTGATCAGAATAGTGTCTCTTCAACTACAGAAAATGGACATTCTGAACCTAAACGCCGACATGTTGATATGACTGATGAAGATATTGTTGCACAAGCTATGATATTCCATTTTGGAGGATTTGATACAACTTCATCATCTATGGTTTGTCTTGCTTATGAATTAGCTGTAAATCCGGAAATTCAGAACAAACTGTACCAAGAGGTCCAAGAAAACTGGTTGGAATGTTCAGGAGAAGTAAACTACGAGATGATTATGAAGTTGGAATACATGAATATGTGTATTTCGGAAGCTTTAAGAAAATGGCCCCCACTTATATTAGCAGATCGCCAAACTGCTAAGGAATATAAAATTCCGCCACAGCGTAAGGGTGAAACAGAAGTTACTTTATCTAAAGGCACAATTATTTGGATTCCAATTTATGCTATACATAGAGATCCCGAATTTTTCCCAGATCCACTTAAATTTGATCCTGAGAGATTCAGCGAAGAAAATAAACACAAGATTCCAACTTTTGCTTATATGCCGTTTAGTATTGGACCAAGAAATTGCATAGGTACGTTATCATATTGATATAAATTGCAGTTATTTAAATTTTAAATTTTGTTTTAGCTCAAAGATTTGCCCTAATGACAATTAAAACTATTATGTTCCATCTTCTTCGAGAATTTGAAATTGTTCCAGTTGCAAGTTCGAATATTCCGTTCAAGTTGAGCACAAAACACGTGAATGTTGCATGTGAAGGTGGGCTGACGTTAGGTTTGAAACGTAGACAAATGGAATAAGCATGCGTTAATTACTGTCTTAGTATTGTACCCAAATGAGGTTCAGATAAGCACGCAAAACTGTTAAATTGATAAGTAACTATAACTAATACCAGTATATTTGTGATAATGTGTGGTTTTCCTAATTTTAGAAACTGTAATCATCATTTTATTATATTAAAATTTAATAGTTATGTGTTGTAGGTAATTATAGTTGTAACAGATAAAAAATTATATAACTAAGTAACAAAATTTTTATTTGAATAAATTGAATAAATACATTTGTCGTATTTTCTTTTTCTGATGATTTTAAGGTTATAACATCTCTTTATTTTTAGATTTATGATAGTAATATATTTTATTATTGCTGTTGTTGTTGTTGATGATGATGAAGGTGTAAATTTTAAGCCATTTGTAAGTGCAACGTTGAAGTTCAACGTCCGGACACAATTCGTACGGAATTTTTCATTATCAATACTTTTGTTCGCTACCACGGCGTCTCCGCAGAAGCAGAAGAGCATCAGTGACTAAGAAAAAACTAGTTTCATTAAAAAAGGCAATTTGATATAATAATGCAACAAAAGAGAGGCCTACAGATACGATGTGCACAGTGCATCCAGCACAGCGCAGGCCCATAATAAAAGTCACAAAATTATATCTGCTTCGTAAGCGTTTTTTATTAGCACTTTGAAGTCCGGACGAACTTTATTGCTCGCTACTCACACAGTTCTTAAACTAAACGTAATCTCCATCCTTTCGTGGAATTCCAGCCGGGTCGATTGCTGCAAAATATAAAATTGTTCAAATTCGTGGGTGAATGTGATCGCGATTGTGCACCGCAATTAAAATCTCCACGCAAAAGAATATAAGAGACTTGCATGTTGGTGAAGTTAGTAAGTGGCGGCTGGTTTTAAATCTGCGGTTTATTGAATAATTTATAGCATGAATTGCGAAATAATGGACAAACAAATCATGCGCTGACAGGAGACGGAGTTGCGCGTTGCACAGCCCGGTACTTTGAGCTGAGAAGATAAGATCTAGCGAAGCATTTCGGTATTTCTTGTTTACGCAAAATGTCACAAAACGCACCAGAAATAAACGACATTCCGAACGTGCAATGCAAATCAATTTATTTATTTATCTGCCAAAAACTGATAAAAAGGACTGAATAATTGTATGGAACAATACGTTTTGTTTTTGTTAGGGTTATTTGTAATATATGGACGCAATAATTACAATTTAATATCATGCAATTTTACGCAATTAAAACGATCATTTCTTTTATAAAGGAAATTCCTTAATGGTAAAAAATTTATTGCCATCCAGGTTTATTTGTAATTTAATATTGTTATTTGTTCATTTGTTCTTCATAAAATTAGAAACACTTAACTTTGTTGATTTTTTTTGGTTCAAAAAATTAAATTAATTATTTCATCATCACTAAAAGTAAAACTCAACGCAAGAGAGTGTTTTATTCCTATTCACCGTGTAAACTTTAACTTAATATGAAATTAGTATTTGAAATATTTATTTATTATAATTTTACGTGATTTTTGGATTTTACAATTTGTATTTGAGTTGACATGTTTCGCCTCTTCATAAAGTTTATGAAGATGCCCTCTGGGCGAAACATGTCAACTCAAATACAAATTGTAAAATCCAAAAATCACGTAAAATTATAATAAATAAATATTTCAAATATAAAAATGGATTACGTATTCGCCAAAGAAAGTAATAAATGAAATTAGTAGTTTATTATATGCAACCCAATATACTCGTTGTGACTTAAAGCTGCCTATCATGAAATGTTGTTTTGTGTTTATTCGCTTTTCCTTTCAAACCTCATTCAATGGTGAGTACTCGTATCACAAAATTACAGTTTCATAAAATATTTTTTTAAATTATGGAAAAGAATAAAACTATAATTAAAAACAACATTGTTTGACCTTTCAATTTCCTAATCAAATTTAGAAAAAATAGATGTAAGTTATGTTTAAACCATGCTAATCCTTTTCGTTGCATTCCTTTCTCATTTATAATCATTATTATAATCAATTTTCATTCTTTTTAATTATTTATTATTACACCATGTGCAAGATTGTTTGTGCTCTAGATTTAATTCCTCCGATGACATTTGTTCACAGCAAGGAAATTCCTCGCGACGACATCTTTGCCAACCATCAACATCAGCGTGGTTTCGACATAATAGCCTCGACGAAGGTGATCACTCGCAGGAATGCGTATCAGGTGGTTTTGGGTGTGACCGTGTGTGTCAGTGTGTGGCCTCGTGCTCTGCATTTTGCGTTCCGAAACGAATATTTGCCTCATCAACACATTTCATAAATGACGAGTATTTCATGAAAAGTGTTGAATATATTCCAAACGCTTGATTTACACATCTAGCATGGATTTAATATCCTGATAGTTTGAAACAGTTTTAATATGTTATCTGTGTGAACGCCTCAGGGCACGGAAATTGAATAGACATCAACCAGACGCGGAAAGCACAAGTCGACAATGTCCTCAAAGCCAACAAGAAATAAGTCTCGAACAGGTTGATCTGATTTAATTCACTCCACACAACAGTAGTACTTAAATCTGCTTAATGATGAGTTAATGTTTTAAAACTCGTAGGAAGTTATATATACTACTACGCAAAATTAAAATTTCAAAAGAAGGAAACTGATATTATCAAGGTCACGTACAAAGGACAAAATTTACGATTATTTATTTCTAAATAATAATTTCCTTAACTTCATCATATTAATCAATGCAATTTATCATTAACCAGTATTTAAATTACTTTCCAATATGCTAATCAACTAATATGTTACATTAACATAAAGATTTGTCTTCAACATTCTTGTACAACAAGAGTTACATAAAACTAGATAAGGGCTATTATCTTGTTGTTATTAAATTGCCTTCAGCTAACGAAATATTTCATGATACTGGATTATTTCAATATAATATGAACATGTTTATGTTAGAATTTGCAGTTGGGTTGAGTATGAAATTTCTGTTCGCGCACTGGCTGATGTAATATAGTCCAAATGCTTGAAATACATAATAATGCATAACTTTTACTGCTTTAACACTAAAGTCTAAACTTACTTCGCGTATGTACGGTTCCGAGTCATTGCGAGGCAAGGCAATTTAATGCTATAAACAAATGTGAAACTCGGTAGGACTAGTAGGAGTAATGTAAACAAAGATATGCAATCATGTAATACTTTCTTTAGTTAAAGTAAAGTTTATTAAGTATGCATTTTCTATAACCCGATTTAGTAAACTTAGTAAATGCTTTTAATTTGTTTAATATTATTTAAATTAGTTAAATATAATGTTTATAAATATTGATTACAACATTTTTATATAATGCCTATTTTTATTTATTTGTTATTATGTAAACTGTTTTCTTTTTCATTTCATTTGTAGGACACTTGTTCCAAATTCTTTATTCTTCATTCACAATTCATGATTCTTGCTGGTTTATTCTTTGCTTGGTTGGTTTGTTGGTGGATACACAGTTGATTTGGTCCCCGGTGTTTCGGTTGAGCGAAAACCTTGATTCAGAATCCTCAACTCGCACGTTTCCAAACTTATTATTGCACGTATGTAGATACACAACTTTTAAAAGTTTGTTCAAATAATATTGCCGATCTGATTAAAAATTAAGAATCAAAATATTTTTCACTTAAAACTCAGTGCAATAAAAACTCAATGTTGATTACTTTTTAAGTACATGAATTTCAACCGTCAAGTGTCAACACTTGACATTGCATGTGTGCACTCAATGTAATTTACTTTTATTAACCAGCGGAACAAGTGACTTTTTAGGAATTTTTTACGTTTAAATAAACATGAATTAAAAACATACAACTTGTTGAAAACTTTCTTTCTGCGAATCAAATTACAAACGTAATTTAACATGTTTTACATTGCTTAATGTACCTCAAACTACATTAAATTAGTTTATACTAAATATTTAGTAATGAAGTATGTTGAAACGTGCTTGATGGCAGACTTGACCGGAACAATCTAAATTCTTGGATACACTTAATAAATAAAAACTTTATGTGTATCACATTGCCGATTGAATCATGTTTCGCGGTGATTTAACCTTGCGACAAGTTTTTTGTTTTTTATAAATATACTTTTCATATAGCAATATAACTGATATTCTTTGAGATTTGTAAAAGTTTTAATATTGATATCGAGTTTAAGATTTAATTCACATTGGTTTCGTCAACATTATTAGTATTCAAATTTAATAAGAATTAATTAATTTTATGAAAAATCTTTTATTTTGTTAACAAGTTTCAAGTTTTTTTTAATAAATCTTATCAATTCTTTTTAAACAAAAAATAAACGAGATCAATTTTGAAAACCTGTTTTCAATTTAATTTAACAACACATAGCAACAAAAATATAGACAATATTTTCAAATTTTAATGTATTTACAACGTGTTTCTAACTATAAAATTATTCATATCATGTAGTATCAATACAATAACTAGTTACAAAAAGAAAGAACACAAAAGGAAAAGTTTCCTCATTGCACGAATACAAATAACAAAGTCGATCGGTAATAATCGATATTTTAATGTTAACAAAGTTAACAGAATTAATACCTACAATGAAGTGAAACAACTCCAAGATGAAACAACTTTCATTTTCATTTTCTTTCGTTCGGCCGCTTTTTAAAGGCATGATTAAACATAGCATTACGTTATTGTGTCGATTTTTACAATTGGAATTAATCACGTTATATTAATTACATTCTAATAAGTATTTATTATTGTATTGATTGAACTTTTCAAACGCAATGGAATTTTATTCTCTGATAATGTTCGAAAAAATGTTTGTGTTACTATACGTATGTCCAGGTGTACTTAAAGCAGATATTAGATTTTATGAGTCACAATTTCAACAATGCAACAATCCCACTAAGTGCAGAATGCAAAAATCAGAGGCCTATGCAAATTGTAAATCATGTGTGCATAATAAGTGGAAACTGAAACTTTATGCAACACGATGAATAATAAAACGTTCATGCAGAGTGGAGACATAGAGACATTCATGTTTGTATGAGGTGTCATTTCTTAAGAGTTTTTAAAATTTTTGCTCATACGAAACCTAACAATAAAGAAACTTCTTCGCTTTTTTAAAAGTGACTTAAAAGTTACTTAAGTGTTGTTAAACTGCAGTTTTATCTTTTTCTCTACTAATTTAATTGTTTAACAACTATTAATGATGTTTTTATTGTGACGCTGTTCTTAATGATCGTGTGTAAACATTTGAAATTTTTCCCAGCGCAGAACAATTTTCATTGCATTAAAAAAAGAATAATGTGCAGAATTGAGTTAAGTACATATAAAGATATTATAAACTTAAAATATTTTGTTTCCTAATATATTTCATTTATTATATATTTCTTTAATATTTAATTACCAAGTTCTACTTATGCTAGTATAGTTTATAGGTACATATTTAGGTATAGACGACACGGATGACTGAAGCATGGCGCGAACCAAGAATTAACTCGCATGTTATTCTCGCGGTAAGCTTGCGTTGCGTGGCTTAAGTCCACCCGACTTAAGTCTTCGCCAACCTTGCTCTGCAATGTGGGGGCTTAAACTATATAAGCCAGGCGCGCCACAAATCGCGGCTGTTTACCTCTTTGTTTACACCCGACAATAATTGTGATCAACAAGTGTCTGTGTATTCGATAATAAATCATCACAATGAAAATTTTCGTAAGTAATCTAATTATTTATTATATAAACCAAGTGTTTTAAATTATATGCTGCAATCGCAATTAATTTCTTCAAGGTTTGATAAGAACTTGTTTAAAATGATTATAATTAGAGTAATTATTAATTAATTAGGTTCATGAGTAGTTTTAGTTTGCTTGGAGAATTTATGACTTGATAATAATGTTAATTTTATTACTGTATCAATTAATTGATTATAATTTACTCTAATCAACACTAGCAGTGGTCATATAAGTGTTGGAAAAGTATATTACAAAAGTATACTTAGGTTAAAACCAGTTTAATAATTTGTAATATTAACTCAAAAAAGCAAAGCAACTTATGAATAGATCTATTTGTGCAAACTTGTTATAAATTAAAACAATGTAAAACAAAACAAAAAACTTGATTTTGCGATACAAGATTTATTGCAACCAAGAATCTGAAGTCAAAACACTGGTTTAGTTTATTAGATTATATCTTACTTATTATTCATGTTATTCAAGGTTAACTGTGACATTTAAGTCTTGACTTAAGTGAGTGATTAAGACACAAAGAATTGTTATACAAAAACTATGAAAGTATCAGATGCTAATTTAATACTATTGTGATAAAAAATTAATATATTTATAAATATTTACATAATTTTTTAAATTGTTTTAGTTAATTTGCTCTGCCATCTTGGCTTGCGCTGTGGCCCAGCAACAAAACACAACCCCAGTTCCAATTCTGAAACAAATTAACCGTCACAACGAAGATGGTTCATACAGTTATGGATATGAAGCCGCTGATGGTTCTTACAAAATTGAATCAAAGTACCCAACTGGTGAAGTCTTCGGCAAGTACGGCTACGTAGATGATGGTGGTAAACTCCGAGAGATTGAATATGGTGCATCCCGTCGTGGTTTTGAACCTGCTGGTAATGAAATCAACGTCCCACCACCAACCCTCCAACAAAACAACGCTGCCATCCGTCCTCTGAACCCCAATGAGGAAGATGATGGTCAATACCGTGAAGATCCCAGTGTGTATTACAAGGATGAGAAATATAACAACCCTGCCCCAGCTCGTACTGCCCAGCCTGCTCCTCAGCAATACAACTACCAACAACAATCACAATACCAGCAACCTCAATACCAACCACAACAACAACAACAACACCAACAAATTACTGGATTCTTGAATAACTATCAACAACCAAGGAATTATCAACAACCTGCTCAACCAGCTTTCAGGCCACAACCTTCTTACCAACAACCACAAGCAAGATATTACAATCCTGATCATGCTAACTTCAACCCTTATGCTGGACACCCAGCCAGCAACTTTGATGTTGCTAGCGGATCTTACTCAGTGCAATACAGGCGATAAGCAATACGTAATGTTGTAAAGTAATTAGTGTGTATTCTTTTGACTAGTCTTCAGACTTATTGTTTATATACGTATGTATTAAAGTTAATTATAAATAAAAATATTAAACATTTTTATTTTGTTACGTCTTATTTAAAGAAATTGTGGTCTGTTATTATTCATTGCAGAAAATGGTAGAAAGTGTTGCATTTACGTAAGAAGCGCACGCGTTATGCGCATATTAAGTAAGTAACACCAGAAGAACTAAGTTACCAATGAATTGTACAAAGTACAACAATAAAATTCAAAGAATAAAATATTTGGAATAAAATAAAGTATAATTACGATAAAATTTAAATCAAACTGTATGATTGTAGGCCTAAGTTTGGTCAATAAACATTACATACCTTATTAAGTGCTTCTAAGAATTAACTATGACTTAACTAGGATGCATTTAAAGTTTCCATATTGAATTTTATGTGTTTTATTGTTTTATGTGTCAATTGTATTAAAATAGTTTATGATCTGCATAACATGCATTGACGTAGGAGTCAAGAGTCGTCAATGCACCACTCACTCATTAAGTCATACCGTGGCGTGACTTAAGTCAAGTTTGTTCTTATTTCTTCATTGATGACAATGTCAACTGCATTAAACCATGCCATAAATTCTAAAGAAATACAAAATATAAGAATTACACCTTACAAATTCCGTCGTATGTCATGAATGTGCGATTTTATTGTATTTTGTGGTTTGGTTATAGGCAACACACTATACATCGTTCTTAAAATGTTTAATTATTCTTGCAGATTATTCCAAAAGTGAATTTCTACACCGAGTTTTGTTTTAATTGAATGATTGTGTGGATATCCAATTAAATTGTCAACACTCCAATTTCGTATTATAAATTTATATTATAATTTGTACAAATGAGTCAAAACAGCATGAATTTCATTGAATCAAGTTGATTTCCTAGCAAATTGAATTCTTGATCTCGGTAGTTGGATAGTGCAAAAATTGATATGACCAGCAGTTACATTTCGATTTGGGTGGAGTCGCGGAAGACCTTGGAATTCTTCGCTCGCATATTATGCGATAGTCGAACGCACCAGAACGAAATGGACAGCAATGAACGCTTTACACCTTGGCGAGTGTGCGGACATAATCTTGTTACATATTACACAAGGCTCAACTCAACTCTACTTAACTCGTGTTGCATACAAGCAGAACAATATTCAAATAGAAACATACAGTATCACGGACAAATTTTGAGAGAAAACTCGATTAAAAATCAAACCGCATTTCAAATTGCTTCCACACATTAAATTTCCAATTGCAGCTGATAGGAATAATTAAGCAGGAAGAAAGTAAACGAATTTAGCCAAAACTTCATGAATAACTAACTTCTACCGACGCAAGACCCGATTGAAAGTGAATAATGTGAGTAAAGTGAGTGAATCAACGCAAGTAAGCAAGCGTGAAATGAAAACGAAACTTGATTCATTATTGAATCATACTATCACTTGCATCTTTGGTGTTAATATCTTTGATATTTTTAAATCATCAAAATTTTGACAGAATATAATTGTCTGCTTTGAGAATGCTTGGGTTGAAATTGTGTTATGTACGAGTACGACGACACGTTCTAATTCACGCGTGAACGTGATTTTCTCATTTTATTAAAGCATTATTTAAGTTTATATGGTTATATTCACGCATTCAATGATTACGTTTTTTTCGACTTTAATATCCTAGTGCCATTGCGTACCATTGCATGTTGTAATCGCGCAATTGAACATTGAGATAGTCATAAGCGTCGGAATACGAGTATGATTATGAAGGTTATTGCTTTTTGTCTTTGACAGTCAATTCATTGCAATTGGTTAAGGAATGTCGAAGTCTTACTGCAAGAATGAAATATAACCGATTTAGTAAGTTAACAATGTATTACATATTGTAAAGAATATTAGTGTAGTAGATATTATGTTTATAAAATGAAGTAAAAATTTAATAAAATCACATGAAAGTTTATTTGTGATAATTATTGATTTAATTATAAATATTAGTGATCAATTAAATTTCTGTGACATTCAATCGGTAATAATTATTTGCCACATTTAATTTAAGTCAAGCTTAACTGACTTAAGACAAATTAGTTGTAAAATAACAGCGGTCATTTGAAAATCATTGATAAAATGTTAATCATGTGGAGCCTGGTTGGCGATTCGTTATAATTCCATATCATTAATTCTAGCTATTTCAATATCATTCGATCGATTGATTCAGTTTGAGTTTGAGTTTAAGTTTGCAATAACTTGTTAAGTTGCTTAAACACATTGATTTTCTAATGATTAGAATATATTCGCATTATTTTTAAATCTACACAAATTCAACATTTATGGCATTGGACTTGGGTAGACCTGAGCTCGCTGGTTTTGTTGATCAAGTTTTACATGTTCTGTCTCATGTCAGTGGCATGGAAAGGTCATGAGCATGTAGTCTGCAACAAATGTAAATGTATAGAGAATAAAGCAAGAGAAGTTTTGCAAACACAAATTTGGTTCATCTAAAGGTGGAGTCAGCTTAAAATGTAAATTGATTTGGCATAAGTTACTTTCGAAAGTGCTCTTTTATATATTTTTTAAAAATTGAATAACATGAAGAATGTTATTATATAAAATGACACTATTTTTATAAAATTCTAGTAGGTAATCTGCCCAATTTTATAATACTTGATTGTATCACGCAAATAAACAATGTGAAATGATATATTGAAACTTTTCGTAGGTGCTACACAATCACACGAACCAGACTCAGATTTGCACTATGCTGCGCCCAGCAGACAGCAGTAGGTCAATGCGAGGAGGTGCATATTGACGAATTACATACAATATGTTCATGCTGATCCAAAATAATCATCCCTAATACCTATTGAAATTACATTTTAAATTTCCTGACTATTTCTTTACAGATATGTCGATTCTTTATTTTCTGTATCTGCTTTCTGGGATATTGCCCAAAATGTTGATACTTTGTAAAGATGATTAGCTGCAAAACACAATAAATGGTGTTATATTGTTATTTTGTAACAAGAGTTTATTCAAAATATCTTTGAATACTTATTAAGTTATATCGAGACATGTGGTAAGTTACTCTACATGCACTACGAGTGATGGAAAATTATATAGATACACATCGCTTTGCTGCTAATTTGCAATCGGTGTTTTGATTGATGTACCACGCGTAGTGTAATTACCATTACACACCACGGATTGGTATGCACCTTTATGAGTTTATCGAGTTTACGATGCGATGCGGCTGGTAAGAATGTGTTGCTCAACTCAACACGCACAATGATAAATAATTCACTGTTTTGCTGACGTACTATCGTATGTAATCATCCTCACTGAACTTTTTACTATAACATTTTAGAGTGGTATTACAATGTGGCAAATTTAGTTCATGCACGTAAATAGATCAGAATAAAATATAAACTATAATAATTTAGTATTTGATTAGGTTAATAACGATTTTATTATTTTTTATTTTATCACGTGTATAAATATTATGGCGCCTGTAAATTTATTAATTTAGAGAAAAATTAATAGATCAAGTTTTCAGCTTATCAACAATGAAGTTAGTAACAAAATACTGAATTTTAATTTATTAAATGGAAAGATTTTAAAACAAGTTTTTTTGATATCAAAACAATACAAACAAAATAAAATTAGTTTTACCATATCATGAATAATATCTATTATCAAAAATTAAAAATGAATCAGATTTCGAACATAAAAAGTGTTGTTTGTTCAAGCATTACATAAAGATCGAAAGTTGTTTCAAGTCAGCTTAAAGTGAGCGAACTAAATAAAGACGAAACAAATAAAACTTTTTACTATCCAACCAAAAACACCATACACCATATATCGCTATAAGCACGAATTAACCTTATTACATTTTGATGTTCATACAGCTACGAAAAGCTAATTAAATAATAGCAATTTAAATTCCGCACAGAATTCCAAACATTTACTATCAAATATAGAAATAATATTATAGAAATGTAATTGTAAATTTAAGAAAATTTACCACGAATTTATAATAATTTAATTTAAATAGTTTACTCTCATTAATGTGTTTAATCTTCCATTAAATTAGTTTTTTGATCAAGTAATATTTTGGCTAAGTGCTAAATAAAAAAGAAAATAATTATCCATAAAAGCTAATTATCCTTGATTAATATTTACGAGTTTAAAATGTAATTGATGTGTAAGTATCATTAGAAACTCCAAACAACAATTTTTGCAAACTTCGTTTAAATCTTTAGGCAGAGCTGGAAGCAACACCATAAAGTAATCTGCAAAGTAGCACTACATTTAATTAGCTTCCGCGATATTTAGAACTAACTTAAGTAAGAGTTAGACTTAAATTTGAGCTGCATTTTAACTTCAATTGCTTGTTCACACGTGATTACCAATAAAACTTAAAATATACAAAGTGTATACATTTTTATAAAATTATATCCGAATTAAATATTATTTAAGTTTATATTGTGGTGTTTTGTCAAAAAGAAAACAGTGTTTATATTTATTTCTACTCATATAAATTTTATTTTATTGTGTGAGTATTACGTGTTATTGATGTAGACTTAAGTAAGACTTTGTATGACTTGGTATTCTCTTGGTGAAAGAGTGGTGAGAGCAAGAGCGGTGGCAGGATATCAGCGCTATCCCCTCGCATAGGGACCTTGCCCCCTACCATCGCGCTTTTAAGTCGACTTATAAAAGCCGCCCAGTCTCCCCCGCACCACTTTAGTGCTGTGCCTTAATCGACATGTTACCATTCAGATACGTGAGTACCATTTACAAATATATAACCAAAAATATCAGAAACAGCTAATAATTTTCAAATATTACTTAAGTCAGAATGGGTTAATATTAAATAATTTTAAATAAATGGTGTTAAATCATTAATATTTATAAGTATTCGTATAAGTATTACATTTGAGTGTGACACTTTTAACACAATTAAGAACAAGTTTCTGTGATTTTATTATAACACTGATTCAAGTTTTGCATGACAACTGTATCTCCGGATAAGTTTTTTAAAGCGGTGCTGTTTGATCAAATTTGGCATTGAAACTTGGCGCACCCAAGCCTGTAACACATCAAGTGAGAGTAAAAGTAATAAATTATAAACTACAGTTTAATTGAATCAAATCAGGAGTTGAAACAAGGTCGTTTCCGGAAACCTATAAACTTTAATAAAATGCAAATTTTAGTTAACAATAGCTGGTTTAAGACGGATTGGATTATTCGTTTAGAAAAGTATCAACGTATTCCTTTGCAATTAGTTTCCGGTCTAGTAAATTCGATTAAAGAAAAACCAAACGTGGTATTATGTCAATTTCGGTCCGAAATCCACGCACGTAATAATATCGGGCGCGGGCAGAAATAGAAAATAATGCACTGATTAGAAAGTGCTCATTCTTGCGTGGCCCGTTTGTTACCCAGCTAAATGCTAACATCGATTGCGCTGTAAATCTGCATGATACGAGTATATACTACAAACACAAAGCAAATACAAATATGAACATTAGTTGAAATTATAACTTAGAGTAGTAACAAGTACTTACCTATATTTTACGAAATGAGGAATACACTTTGCAGCATTTAATTTGTGGCTGTTATTTAAATTCAATTATTTTCTGAAAAATGTAGGACACTTGGTATATTGTGATAAATTTTATAATATCTCGTCTGGTGTGTTTTGTCTTGACTCTGGTTACCTCGACTCGCTTTTCGATTTTACTTTCGTTACACTTACGAGTGCGCTTTTATCTCGTTCACATTTCGCAGTTAGCTCTCAAGATCTGTTACGTTACCCAACCGGCCAGTTTCCGCCTCGACTTGATTTACATTTATGTAATGTGTGACATTAACGTGACACACACAAACTTACGCTACTGGTGCTTAAATGCTGTTAATTTCCATTTAAAACGAGTTTTTAATAAAAATGACAAATTTTTTAGGTCGCCATTTTTGCCCTCGTGGCCCTCGCGTCTGCTCAAGAATATGAGTTTTCTGCCAACCCACGACCAGCACCAGGACGTGTCCAACCAGGATACTCCGGCCCAGCTAATTCTGGTGCTAAACCCACTCCAGTTCCAATTTTGAAGCAGATCAACAGGTAAATTATATGTTTATAAAATGATCTATCAAACAAAATAATAATCTTGTATATTTTAGACATAATGAAGATGGTTCCTACACTTATGGCTATGAAGGTGCGGATGGTTCCTTCAAAATTGAAACCAAGAACCCAACTGGTGAAGTAAAGGGCAAATATGGTTACGTTGATGATACTGGTAAAGTGCGTGTCGTTGAATACGGAGCAACTAAATATGGATTTGAACCTTCCGGTGAAGGTATTACCGTTGCTCCACCTACCTTAGTCGATGAATCCACTGACAAGAATGGTCTTCCTGTTCAATACGGAGAAGAACCCGTACAACGCCCACAACAAGTCCATCGTCCAGTGCAATACAAACCAGCTCCAGTCCAATACGCTCAACCTGCTCCACAGCACTCTCCAGCCCCAGTACCCCAACGTATTCAAGTACCTGGAGCTCTTTCTGCTGGTCCATCTGCTTCCTTTGAATTTGGCACTGGTGGTCGTAGCTTTGCCTCAGCTCCCCAAGCTCACACTCGTCCTCAACTTTCTCTATCTGCTTACGCCAGCCCTGCTCCAATTGAAGAAGATACTTATGAAGCTACTCCCAGCCCTAAGATTACCTATGCTCAACCACGTCCACAACCACAAGCTTTCCAATTTGCTTCTAGCCCAGCTGCCACTCAAGCTATCACCAGACCACAATATACTCAGTATCAACCTGCTCCTCAACCAAAATACCAGCCACAAACAGCTCCTCAGCAGTATCAACCTGCCCCACAACAATACCAACCACGCCCAGCTTCTCCATCTGGTCGTGTTGGTGGTGTTCTTGACCAGTTGGCCAAGGACTACGCGCTGCCATCCAACGCTGCTGCTCCATTGCACGATATCAGCTTTGGCTATTACTAAACTAACATCAAACTGGCATCCTCGGGATCTCAAAGAAGATGCATATATAGTGTTAATGTTAAGGACCAAGAACTAAGACTCTAAACTTGCCCAGGTGCTGACTAGTCACCTAAACGGAATTTTATGGAATAAACTTTAGAAATGAGTGTCCCAAGCTATGAAGAGCAAGAGTAGAATCGAAATTACACTGTGACAAATGTTTGGATGATATTTTAGAAGAAAATTCACAACTACTTTTAATTTGGTTTCTGCAAATTAAATTTAGTTTTAAATGTTTTGGCTTCTTAACAAATTATTAACGGATTTGAAAATATTTAAAGAATGTTGTTATCTATATTCTATTATCTATAAATCTATATGATTGTTTCCTATAATGTGTATGTTATAATTTTTGATATGCAAACTGAAGCTGAAGCTTTGTTATAATGTTCTTTATATGATCTTGATACACAAATAATTACGTATTATTTATAGAACATAAAATATGGAAAATCATAATGGACTGTAAATAAACACAATAAAAATTAACGAAAGAAAGAACCAAAAAATATTTTTTAACCTTTTTAGAAACTACTATACGGTTGAACTTAAAGTTTTTAAATTAATTTCATATTCAGATAATTGAATTGAATAATTTTGTTAAAATACACTGGAGTTCAAATCAAATAAGTTTTTGTTATCAATTTGTTACAAAAGATTAAAGTGTAAATAATATTTTTTTATAAATTTGTTTTCATTTACTTACTAGCTTTTGCCCGCGACTTCGTCCGGTAGTGTTAAAATAGTTATAAAAATGTAATTAGTTTTTACTCTCTTGTTCTATGCATATTATGTGTCAATTCTATCAATAAGATTTGCAATTTTATTTTAAAGAAATAAATTATATTAAGAATTGCTAATAATTTTTAACTTCTAGAAAAGGGCTGTCTTTAGGATTTCCTCGGCAATTATTCGAATTTTTCTCGCTGCAAAAACCATCCTTGGACTTTAACGAACATTTTAAAAAAGGAATTAGCCAAATTGGTCTGGGGGTTGTTGAGTTATGCGCTTACCAACAGATTTTGCGATTCATTTTTATATTATAGATAATACCAGTTTTTGGAAAATCAATGTATAGTAATTAAAACGCTGAAGTGAAATTGATTTAATTTAGATTATACAATATCAAGTATCTGATTAAAATTGGCTTAAGATGATTGAAGTTGAACGTAAATCAAGTTTAGTACGAGTACAAGTAAAGAGTTCAAGAAGCAATTCGTGCGTGATGGCTTCAAAAACGAGGTCGTTTTCGCAACGAATGAGGAAGATGCTGTGCCATACTCTGCGCACGAATTGAGGCATCACACACTTTACCAAACCATGTAGTTAACTAGCATTGCACAACTTTTTCATCAACTTCATCTTAACTTGCTCATCTTTATCTTTGCAAAGCATGCACAAAGGAGTTTTTTGGAGCAAGATGAATACAGACGGCAATTATCAAAATATTCCACTTCAGAGAAGTGCAGAACGAGTAGCGCAACAGTAACTTTTAACTGACTAAAGTTAAGTATTAGGTTAAGCTATAGTTTAAGAAATTCCCATCGATGATTTATCGTGATCAAAAACTATTACAAGATCTAAAACTGAACATCTTGTAGAGATCAATCTAATCGATTGGTAAAACTAAATAATCTCATCTTTAAAATGAATAACATGAAGAAAATCAGATATTAAATTTTGTAACTCTTGTAATTCATGTAATTTATGTGATGTTAATGCTACTGAACAAATGTTTTGTGAAATCAACAAACACAATAATATTCAATAGATTACGTAAAATAATTTCATGAAATTTAAAAATCAAACTAAATTTAAATACCTACATTAACATATTAATAACCGAATAAATTAATGAATATTTAACACTTGCTATTCTCATTTATTATTCCAACACTTTTCTGAGAAAGTGAAAAGTTTAAATACTAGTTAATTTATTGATTGGAAGATACGGTAGTCTATATTTTAGTGAAATGTTACATGACGAAATAGTTGTAGGAAAGTGTTACATTTTTAGGTGTACACAACGTAAATTCTTATGCGTTAATCAGCTAATGCGTGTTTAATCAGTCAAATTTAAGGAGGAGGAATTCAAACACGCAAGAAACACGAAATAAACATACGAAAGAAATTCGAATTTCTAAAATGTTTTATAATATACCTCGAGTAAGTGATCCGGTTTTTATGGGCGGACATAAGTTAGGAATCGGCTTAAGTAATATCATAAACTTGCGTAACGTCAAACGTAAATGCGGACTTCCGATCGTAATAACTTAAATTTGGTTGTGTGTTGTTATTATATTTTGCCGCAAGGATAAATACAGCTATATTTTATTGTCAGATGAAAAAGTTTGATTAAACAAACGCACGTGCTGTAGTAATAAACTTATTTTTAAAAAGTAGCTTATATTTTTACGTATTACAAGAGAAATGAGTAAAAGTTAAAAAAAAGTTTAAAAGTTTGACTAAAAATATATTTTTATTATTTAAAAATATTATACATGTACTTTTATACAGCTTGACTGAATTTTTCCCATTTGTTTCTTTTCAATGCACTTGCACTAATTATTCTACAAGATTGTGATGTAATCTGAATTTTGAAATATGCGTGCGAAAAAATGTTACAATTGTGCCAATTTTTATGAGTCATTCAAAACCTGTGATTAATGCCGCACGTGAATGCAACTGGAAATTTTGCAAACTTCCCGAGACAATACGGATTTGTAAAACTGTATTTGAAGCTGTCTTAGAGTTAAACTTAAAACTTTGCTTTGCAATTCCTGCAGTCGTGATCAATTAATAATAATTTTAGAATTCCTTGTTCGGATCGTTCTTGGAACTTGGTTTAAACAATAATAAGGAACATTATTAATGGTACTTACTTGAATTTATTGTTGTATTGCCGGTGTAGTTGAAGTCTGCTTTTGTTGGTTGAAACCAGTTGAAGGCGTTCATTTGAAGTTCAACTTGGAAGCAATAAAAACAATAAGAAAGGCCAAGAAGTCAAAAGTTCTAGGTTGAATCACGCCAACTATATAAATGAACATCTTTGGAATAAACAACTTTTGAAATAATATGCGTAGTGTATAGTGTAATTTATTTAATTAATTACATACCGCAATGATAATAAATTTTATTGATTTTTCAAACATTAATGTTATTTTTGCATTATCTTTGTGTGGATCAGTTTCTTTTCTTTTGTTTGCCCACCTCATTAGACCAAATTGTAAGTGTTATTCATTTATTCATACACGTTGGGTAAATTCCGCCCACCATTTATCGAATGGGAAATAATGCCTGTTGTTAAGCAAACTTTAACAGAACAAAGTAGCCAACGCCCAAACGATTTAAACTCGTGCAGACCGATTCCCATGAAAGTTGTAATCATTGTGCAAGCGTACATTATTTTAATGAATACAATTTGTGATTTACGCGACTGTAAAAGGTAAATAACAGTTTAATATTTTTGCGATAGAAAATATGAAAATTTATTCTGTTGAAACAGCAATAAAACACAAATAATTGTATAAATATGTACAACATTTATTTAAAATATAATATTATATTATTACAATGCGATTACAAATACGTATCAATAATTATTAATAATTACAAAAACAGAAATAAGTACCTACATGCATACAAAGTACAAGTACAAAAATAATACTTCATAAAGGTGTTACTTTTCGTTCAAATCGTTCAAATTTATATTACATACTTACATCAACATCAGATTATTTACAAATGCAATTTACTAATCTCAATATTAAAGTATGATAAGATTTCTTGAATTTTCTGTGAAGATATTATGTGATTATTACAAAATTATGATTAAAAAGAATCATAATTAAATTTTCATTTGACATGCTGAATGGATTATTATTATTTATTTCGTATTTCGTTTTTGATTCGATTTCGATTCGTTTTATTTATTCCAGAGATGAAGAAAACGCCGATCGACCTTGGCTTGTCTTTGACTATTCATTAAACTCCTTCACACCAGATGGATTTCTAGATATAAGAATAAACTTAATTTTTGATTGATTTTTAAAGCATAAGCAACAATATCTTTAGTTGGAGATGCTGTTTGATAACTTTTACTATTGCCGGCAAGAGAAGAAGTAAAATAGAAGCAAATAAAGAGAACTCAACTTCAATTCAACAATGACTATTATGGTAGTTTGCAAAATGCCATGTAACGCTTATAAAATGCATGTTATGCATGTAATTATGTTGCTTTATTTATTTTTACCAAGCTGCTTGCTTTAAAATGTGAGAGAACAATGTAAAACAACAAACTGTAAGGTTATCCGCGAAGACTTACAAGTATCACAAAGATGCTATGTATTGAATTTTAAAATTTGTCAAAATTAAATCTCAACTTATTTTAAATTAGTTTTATAGTTTTTAAGTTTTCATATTAAAAGTTTTTAATTTGTTGATTTTTAGACTTTACTGAAAAAATAGTAACAGTTTTAGTTCAAAATTTATAGTTCAAGAATATTTTGGAAACAGTCAGTGTATAATTCCTTAGCAAAATAAACGCATTGCATAATAAAAAGAGGCGTGCGTTTCGCGGAGCTCGGCGGCCGCTTTCACTGCACGAGTTAAGAGGTCGGTCGGCGTTTACTAAAGTGGATTTAACGCGCAGGATTTGCCTTCGAATCACCTCATGGTAATCTAGTCATCTCCCAAAGAACACAAACACAATGCGTTCTACATTTGTAAATTTTACAAGTGTAAGATTTTTCTCTGCGGGTTTTTGTTTACTTGCTATTTTGTCCTGGTACCCTAGACACCTACCTCCCAAAAAGGTGTGTCTGACATCAGCCGGTAGCAATGGTAACTAAATTTTTAGATTTTACAAATTATGACTGTGGTTCCTCAGATATCGCTAGTCTAGTCTACGTAGTCTAGTATGGTATAGTCTAGTCTAGATTGTTAATCGCTCAAAAATTCGCAAACATCAGATAACATGATACTTAAATTACTGTTTAGAATTGGATATTATGGCCTCTCAAAAACGCGTCGATTTGTCCACCTTGGGGTTGATACCCGCCCGCAGGTTGTGATTGCGGCTGCAGGTAATAGAATTGTTGTGGAGCTGTTTGTTGCTGCCTTGCTTTCTGTTGCTGGGCATAAAGTTGCGCGGAATTCTGGAATTGCAACTCGGATTGCTGTTGTTGATAGAGAGCTTGGTTATTCGTCACTGGTGTTGGAGTGGGTTTGCTTAACTGGCGATAAAGAGGACTCTGGTTTTGAAGTTGTTGAGCTGTGAGGAGTGGGGAGTGAGGTTGATGAACATAAGGTTGGATACGATGACTTAACGTGAAATCACCTTCAGTCTGAGGAAGGGTTTGGTACAACTGAGTTTTGTATTGTCCCGATGAGGGGTCAAAGACAAGTTCAGAGGAGTAGATCTGACCACCTGGTGTGTGTTGTTTAACATGAGACTTAGCTGGACCTACTGGGCGAGTAAGAGCAGTTGGTGTAGGTGCAACAATGTTATTTTCTTGTTGGAACTTTTGGAATTCCGCATCAAAGTCAATGCTGCCTGATCCCCTCAAAGAAGATGAAGCAGTGGGTCGTGGGGAGGCAATTTGTTTGGTGTAGAGGAGAGCAGGGCGAGGAGTAACAGCAACTTGGAGAAGTTGAGGTCTGTATGTAGTGGCTTCCTGTTCATGTCGGGATGTTGATGCTGTCACTGGTCTTGGAGTGATGCTTAAAGGTGTCACGCTATGTTTGTAAATAACAGATGATGGAGTAGTAGGTTGGACTACCCGCTGACGTTGGTAGATTGGGGTAGGTTCTTCTTCTTCATACTGTGGGCGAGCAAGGTAGGCAGGACGAGAACGGATATGCTAATAAAAATAATAAAATTAATAATTTTTATTATTTTTATTATTTTTCAAGTAGTTACCTGAGGTTGTTGTCTCAAGACTTGTTCTGGTTCTGGTTCCTCCTCTTCTTGACCTTGAGCGTAGTTATTTTGGAAGAGAGTGACTGGTTTGGGTGCCACAGTAACTGGCCTAATTGGTCTGATTGGTCTAGTTGGATAATTAGCTGGTCCACTATCCGCTTCCTGACGATCTTCTTCAGGTCTATCAATTTCTTCATCTTTGGGAGCGTTGGGATCACAAGGGTTACCACTTACATAAGTGAATTCCCTTTTATTGCCATCAGGATCTACATAACCATACTTTCCTCTGACAACACAATCAGTTCCTCTGGTTTCCTCCTTAAAACTACCATCAGCAGCTTCATAACCAAAAGTGAAGGATCCATCATCGTTCACTTTGTTATAGTTTCGAATAGTTTGAACAGGAGGTTGTTTAGAAGACTCCTTCGTTTTGCTCACAGCTTTTGGAGATGGAGCGCTTCTGGAAGGAATGTAATTTTCTTGTGACCTACGTTCTGAGGCAGAGGGTTGTCCATATAGACCATTGTATTGATCAGCGGAAGAAATGTACACCACACGTTGTTCTCCTGCTTCTTGTGGTTCGGCCGCGTAGTACTGAACAGTTTCCTCTTCTTCTTCAGACGGAAGAGGGCGGACTCTCACTCGACGTGACTCGGATAGTGATAAGAGTGCAAGACTGCATACCAAGAGTGGAAACCACTAGAAAATTAAATAAAAAATTATTATTTTAAAGCATGAAACAGAATTTTGCGTTGACAAATAATCATTCTTTGTCTTTTTTGCTCAACTTTTGCAATGAAATCAAACGCTATTGATTTCCATGACACATTTTGAATACACCTTGAATGTTTTGCATGTTTCACAATGTTTCTCAATATTTAAATGACGTTTTGATAGAATTAGAGAATGCTCAATTTGATACAGATTATAAACGTTTTGCAACTGCTTTAAATCGTTTTATGTTTTATTGATACTCTTGCTGAAATTACCATGTAGAAAGAAAATTCATATGAAGTTAAAAAACACAACAATCACAATAAAATATTATGTCACAATATTCTACAATATTTTATGCATTTACTGAGAAGGAAATCTCTATCTCAAGTAATAAATGTTTAATATTCTCTTATTAGTATTCGTCGTAATGTAAAAAACATCCAGGAAATAAAATCCATACAGAAATGTTGTAACAGTGATGAAGAAAACTAGATCAAATCACGAGTATATTCTCGACGTGATTGAATGATTACCACACTGGCGCATAAACTGCATCTTTGTGCGAAATCCGTACAAAAGAAAATCATCGGGCCAATGAATGCCTGCTGTGAAATGTGAAATGAAGTGAGAGCATAAACTCCGTTAAATGCAGATAAACTCTGCTTTTCTTTGTGACTTTTACGCTGCTTTGTGACTTTCGACAAATTATGTCCGAACACTAATATTAAACTATTTTCTATTAATATAATTCCATATATTTTACCGTATACTATATAATAACCACTTTTAGTTCATCGAAAGTATGTTCTTTTGCATTATTCGGTTGAAAATTCCCGGAATTAAGGAAAAATCAAATTTTTAAATTATTCAGCGTATTATTTCATATCAATGCAACAAAGGTGGCTAAAGGTATTACCGTAAAGTGTGTAGGTGCATTGCATAATATCAAATATAATAACAATGGAATCACATAAAAGTGAACGGATTTTGAATGCCTTCGAATGCATTTCAACGGTATGATACGCTTTGTATCGGTGTCCACACGTTTCGCCATTTGGTGCACATTTTTCTTCGTTCCGGGCGGGCGTTCAATGAGGATATACCGCTTCAAAATGAAACGTGAAGCACAACGCGAGACATTATTTATAATAATAGGTTGATAGTTATTCGAAATACAAACTCCAAAGGAAGTAAATGTTCACGTGTGGGTATCAAGCACGATTCTTAGTTTAAATTCAGAATAGTAAAATGTTTGCAAGTGAATTTAATTGGCTTTATACCCACCCCTAAAATATTTTTTAAATATAATTTTATTATAAAACTTATTTAATTAATATACACCATTTTCACATCATTGTTATTGTTGCAGCTTATTCAGGAATAGTCGACTGAATTTCACTCCATTCTTTTATTACTTAATTAAATAATGACACAACTTTCATTTCAACAATTCCTTCGTTGGTATTCTAGTTTTAATCACATAATATTTTAATTTTCACTAGACGACTTTAATTAATAAAATTTGTATCAAAATAGTATCGTATAACTCGATAATTTCTAAACCAATAAACTTCTTAATGCGTTACTAATTTTCTGCTTGATTTTAAATCCATTAACAGGTTTAATTGTTACTAATGTAATAATTTCACTTTGTTAATTAATTTACTCGTATAATTAAATAATAATTAGGCAGCTGATAAAACGTTCTATAAATAATTAATTTTTCCACTAATGCAGATGCACTAGATAAATTTGTTTTCAACTATAAAGAAATTCCTAACGAAATGGAAATTGAAATAACTAGCCGTTAATTAAGCGTGACGAATGAAAGTTGCGTGAAATTGTGCACGCACCTTATTTTGTAAACATTAATGTACAGTCATTTGTAATACGTGCATTGATACACTATTATGATACGTTATTCACTTATATAAAAAGAAACAGTTGAAGACTAATTAATAGGAAGTGCAACCACACAAGAGTCCATTAAGTTTAATAACAATATACGAATGCAAACTATACTGGCATTTAGGAATCGTGAATCTTGTTTTAACAATTTCAGCCTTCGCTTTCAAATTATTATAAATAAGATTTGGCAGCTATATTCTGTGATCTACACTCTGATTCATCACTTAAATAATTTATTGCTTCCTGGTGTTTAATTTTTGTTATAATTTAAAAACATAATTTCCGAAAATTAACAACTGTATGATTTTTATATTTATTACTACTAAAATTATTATTTATCTACTGCCTACATACAGTAAGCAATTTTATAAACTTACACTTTATAAAGCGAATTTATTACTCACGATTCGACTTAATTCTACTACAGGCTAAAAAGTAAACTTTGCTTCGCCTCCCGATTATTATCTTCATACTTCATCGTTTTATTTCTTCATGCTATTTTATGAAGCCTGATCTAAAATTATCTGAATTCTAATCTTTATATTTACAACTTTTATCAGCTAAATTTTATCTTATATAATCATTCTCAATCAAATAAGAATTCAGTTTACTAATTGTGAATGACTTAATACTTTAGCGTTGCAGTTTAATTTACCAGCAATTAACTCTGGTGAGTTAGATTTGGCTATAAATTACTCAACTTATTTTAAGAGTGCAATTAACGTTTGCTAACAGGTCAATATTCTTGTACTTTGCTAATTTCTAAATGTAGGATTTTACTGATAACTGCAATTTAATATATACGTGTATTCAAGTTGGATTATTTTTGTAATTAGTGCATAAAATGTATGAAAATTTAGAATAAAATTTTTGTTACATAATTATTTACTAAACACTTTATACAAAATATGTTAAATTTATATATCTTGCTAGACAAATAAACCAGTGCAAAAAACTTAAGTTATTTTGTACCATCCTGTTTTGTTCCTATTTTATTAGATTTATGCTTCTACGAGTAGTATAAATAAATTCACAACGCCTTCTTCTCCTCTTCACTACTTGTAACCTTCGAAATTATCGTTGATCATCACAAAATCAGAACCAAAATAACTTGACTTAAAAACGTCTCAAGCAAAAATATCTTTCTTCAAGGTCTGTGTACATTTTTCCACACATTTTTGTATTTACTTTGTTTTACGTGTTGCTCATTAAAAAGTTTAAACTTTCCGATGGTTGGGTCTTATCGACAATCAGTCTTTACCTATCTTTACAAACTCATAGTTAACGTTTTTTTTTTCCTATAGATACAGAAGTATTTTTATGTGAACGTACTCATGTGTCAGAGTATGTGAGTACACTATTGTTTTCTTCAAACTTATGCAAATTTAATTACGCCTCCTGCAAGTCACAATCGCACTTTGTGATCTTAATTTCAACTTTTTCTCTGTGCACGTTCGACAAACACTTCATTTCTTTGTCTTGCCTTCTTCAAATAAATAGAAATTTTTTACGCACATACTAAACCTGCAGTTAATTTAAAAAAAAAGACATGTATATGATTACAAAAAGTGTTGATAATAAGCTTGAATAAATTTAAGTTTAGTGTTAACTTTGGCGTATTGTTTGGTGCGAGTTAGTAAATGTTACGTGGTGTTATGCAAACATCTTTAGGTTCTCTTTGGCAATCAGTGTATGAGTGTATTTCTGATTTATTTCGTTCGCAGTATATTTTGCATAGTACTTGTTTTATAATCGGTTATGTACCGTGTAATTTTCATGTTTATTTTAGATTGTGCATGCAAACTTTATTGAGTTGTTAAAACCAACAAAAACGTGTTTACACTTGTTTAGTTTCCCACAATAACAAAAACTAAAAAACGATTTCAAAGCATTGCTGAGTACGTTCATGCTTGTGAAGGCGCCGGGAATAATACGTCAAGATTAGAAATTAGAGCAGCAAAATAAATATAAAAATATATCAGGAAAATATAATATAAAGTAATAAAACCTACATAATAACTGAGTATATAGCATTTAAAATTTTATTAGTGTTTGTATATTATTGTCATTGAATGAAAAACCTTCGTCAATTAAATTTAATCAAATGCCATAAACCATTAAACTATGTTGACATGGAGTCATCAACACATTAAACATTTTTTGCTCTAGTATATCAAAATAATTTATAGCTTGACGTGTTGCAATTAAATAAATATATCCATAGCAAAATATTAACCAACCGCTCAGAAACAAAAAACTAAGATACATTTTATTAAGATATTTAAAATAAAATTGTGTTGAAACATTCAAAATACCAATTTAATTAATAATTTATATTCAATTAATAATGCATTAAGCCAAACAAATAGTTTGTATTAGGCATTGATACATTTTCGATTCTTTAGGCAAAACACAATTTTTTCTCACTTAAATACAAATAAATTACACATTCTATAACTGTGTTCACGCCCAGGTTTCATAACAAATAACTCGGTTAATACACGTTTGAGAATCCAAGTGTTCTCTAAATTTTTACACTCTTATTCTTGTTCCAATTCTGAAGCCTGTTTACGTGTTAATCCGGTTCTTGTCCTGGTTTTTCACCATTGTAAATTCATACGTTGCAGACACATAATTGGCATACTGTTTAACAACTCTCAACCTCTTCGTATTATTAAGTTACGTATGTGAATGAATATATTAATGCTAAGAATGTTGTAGTGAGTGTAGTGGTTGTTGTTGTTCTTAATATCGCTGCATTCGTGCGATGATTAACTCGATTATTAACAGCAGGACGAAAGCGATGGTTGCGCGCGATGGCGAAGAAAAGAAATCGTTGAAGGTCGTCCGTCGACTCAGCAGGCTGCAAAACAACAGACCTAACTTCGGTTATTGCAGCTGCCGCCAATAGGTACTGTGTGCGGTAATCTGGTAATAATTAAATAATAACGCACCAGGCGATATTGAGGTGTGGCTCGCAGTCGGCAATAGTCAAAAGCGTTGCAGATTCACGTTTTTGGCAGCGCAAATTGCATTACATTCATCATTCAACGTCAAATTTCAATTCATACCCG